CCTGATGAAGAAGCCCATGGAACTTCGAAAGCTTGCAACAAGTATATTCTGGAGACTAGGGTTCGAATTCCAGCTCAGCCATGTAAACCCACTAGGTGAACTTGGGCAACTCACACTCTCTCAGCCTCAGAGGATGGCAATGGCAAACCTCCTCTGAACAAATCTTGCCATGAAAACCCCATGATAGGTTTGCCTTAGGGTCATCATAAGTTGGAAACAACTTGAAGACACACAGCAACAACAATACATTAAACTTGAATATATATATGTATTAAAAATTAAAATAAGTTAAAATCAGTTGTTATTGTTGTTGCCAAGCCAGGAATCAAACCCTGGTCTTCAGAGTCATTGTCCAACAATCAAACCATTATGCCACGCTGACTTTCATAGCAACCTATCAAACCCTTGATTTAAAAATAGTCTCCAAAAGCCCATCAGAATACTTATATGTATTAAAAGAGCAAGCAGTAAGAAAGGGACCATTCTTGCACCCTAGGAAGAGACCTCCAGAGCCTAGGAGATGCCACCAAGAAGGCAGTCCAACATTAGGAGGGTGGCATGATTTTCACCCCTGAATTAAACAGTGGTTCTGGTGTAGTTAATGACTGATAGTATTTTATAAGTATATAGACTCTTCCCAAGCACCTTATAGTCTAACTTATTATAAAACTTGCTCTAACTTCCCTTCCAGCATTTATAAATTTTATATAATCTGATTGACAATGTGCACCAGCATGAAAGGACTTTAAAGACGTTTTAATTTAAAAGGAATACATTTATTATTTGACATGTCTAGAAGATAAATGCAGTCCTCTGGAACAGCACTAAGCAATATGAAATGTCACATTTAAGCTTTCTGTATATACTCATCCCTCCCTTGTACAGTGTCATGTACCACGATGGTGTTGTTGTCATCATCCCCTCGTTTCAGATCCTTGAGATCTCCATAAACAAAGACAGAACAAAGAATCTGTCACAGATATAACATAGCTTCGGCTTCTGTTACTGCCTTCACTAGATTGAAGAGGGAGGATATTCTCAAACATTTTACTACTACCAATACCCTGATTACATTCACTTTCATGCATTAAGCACAACGAAGGACCTGCTAGGTGATTTGCAAGTTAAATTCAAATTTAGCCATCTAGAATCTGAATTATGTAAGAAGATGGGTGTGGAGGCATGCAGGTCCCATTAACCTAGTGAAAGAATAGTTGAATTTAGAATGGTTTTTTGGAACTGATGTGGCCATTTGGACCATGGATGTTCTGGCTCAAAGCTCATGTTGTGCACTGCTCTCGCTGCTGTCATTTTTGCCTGAAATGACTACGGTATGTCCTAAGCCCAAACTTAATTGAGATAAGATAAGACAAGCTGTACATTAGTCAAAACACTTTAGAATAAACTAGAGCTTAGGCCCTCTTTAAATCCTCAATATAACATTATCTGATTATATGTGCTGGTAATGTGCAATTCTAATTGATTTTAAAGCTAGAGGGAACTATTAGTGTGCTGTAGCCTGCCCTCTTACATAACCTTAATAGAGGCATTCACTCACTCATTCCTATATTGAAGCTAGAATTCTTGGGGGAACTGAATGTATGTATTTTATAAAGTTAAGAGCTCCTGAATCCATTAAGTCTCCAGGGCAGTTTTTCCAAGTTAATTTCCTTCCCTGGAAACTTCTTTCCTGCTCTCAGTATTTTGCTCTGCATTCTTTTGCTGGATCTCATACATTCTTCTTGGCAGAGATCATTAGATATTTACTTACCTGTAACAGTACTATCTGGATGCAGTGGCTCAAGTGGTTAAGATGCTGACTATTGATTGCAAGATCAGCAATCAATCTTGGCATTTTCAGATCCAGGTGCTGTATGATGGGGTGAGCTCCTGTCCCAGCTTCTGCCAACCTAGCAGTTCAAAAGCATGCAAATGCAAGTAGATAGACAGGTACCACTTCGGTGGGAAGGTAAACAGCGTTCTGTGCAGTCATGCTGGTCAGAAGATCACAGAGTAGTCTCTGACAACACTGGATCTTTGGCTTAGTAACGGAGATGAGCACCACACCCTATGTTCGAACACAGCTTGACAACCTTGTCAACGGGGAATACCTTTACCTTTTTAACAATACTATACAATTCAGTTATTTGATTGGACTTACAGCCCATCTTTATATAAAGCAGTGGTTCTTACCCTGTGGTCCCCAAACCCCAAGGGGGCCACAATGCAGTGGTGTCACTAGGGGTTGGGGGGTGCGGACCGCACCAGGTGACACCCTAAGTGGGGGGTGACACTACTGTTCCTCAAACATTTGCCTTTGGGCAGAAACAGGCTGTGGCATTCACCTATGTACCATTAAAACGCTGAAGAGATTATGTGAGTGGGGTGAGGCTTTGTGGGAGAAGAAAGAAAAGGCCCCAGTTTTTTAAATTTTAAAATGTGATGTTTTTAAAGATTTAAAAAATTCTTTAAAAACATCACATTTTACCAAATCTTCACTCCAACCACATGAAACGATATGTACATGTAAGTGCATTTAGGCTGTGCATATGATCTTGTAATTTAAAGGTATAATTTAAATTTTGCTAGTTGTTTCGAGAGCCAGTGTGGTGTACTGGTTTGAGTGCTGGACTGCAACTCTGGAGACCTGAGTTCGATTCCTAGCTTGGCCATGAAAGCCACTGGGTGACCTTGGGCAAGTCACACTCTCTAAGCCTCAGAGGAAGGCAATGACAAACCTTCTCTGAGCAAATCTGGCCAAGAAGACCCCATGATATTGTCATTAGTCAGAAATCACTTGAAAGTACACAACCACAAAGTTGTTTATGTCACAACTATTACCATGACATTCAGTAATATACAGGAATTAGGATTAATGAGTAACATTAGAACAAAAAACATTACTAAGGATTCAGTATCGTGTGGTATGGGAGGAGGTCAGTGTGGCGTGACACCAACCCTAGTGACGCCAGCGCCACAATATCCTCACAGGGGGTCTGCAATGGCTTGAAGGCTGCTCTACCCACCTCCTCCCTGCAGCAGAGGAGCCACATGGCAAGAGCCATGGCAAAGCCTGCCTGGCTGGCTGGGCCTGCTAAGTTTATCGCATGGCACTTGCAGGAATGGGAATGGAATGGAACGAAACAGGATGAGAACTCACGTTACCGCACAGGAGAACGCCACCGATGCCGCTGGGAGTCCCCAGGCCATTCCCCAGCAGTTCCTGGCAGCCAATTTTGAAGAACAGTTCAAAATCATTCTTCAAAATCGGCTGCCGTAGCACGGATGGAGAACGGCTTCAGGACTCCTGGCATTATCGGTGGTGTTCTCCTGTGCAGTAACTTGCGTTCTCGCCCTGTTCCGTTCCTTTCAGTTCCTGTTCCTGCAAGTGCTGTGCAATAAACTTATGCATGTTGCCTGTCCTGTGGCTGCTTTGCCAAGGGGAGGAGGTTGCTGAGCAGATGAAGAACAGTGGAACTGACAGCCAGCTAGCCAACTTGCTTGCCTGCCAGCCATTGCCCTTATCTTTCTCTCTCTCCCACCCCTCCTTTCCAGCTGAGAGCAGTCCAGTCTCCTATTAGAAATGCTTCCACCACCACCCCTTTTTTCACCTTCTTCATCAGGAGAGGAGATCAACATAATGGTCAGACAGACAGAGCAGGCAGACTAGCAAGCAAGCAAAGGGTCTGGCACCCCGCCTCAGCACTGATGTCAACTAACACTAAGCTATTCAGAGTTAACTGGAACCTTTACACAGGACACAGCTCTCCACCACTGCCTCCCTGCCCTGCACCCCCCCTAGCCCTCCTCCTTCCTTATGTCTCCTTTCTTGCCAATAAATACCTCTGTACCTTCCTTTCCCACCTTGGCACCACAACATCTCTCCTTCAATCTGAGGCTGTCTCCACCAAACTTTCTTCACTACACTTCTTTTCTACTTTCCAGATCATGTCAGATTCCATTAAACTATTTTGAGGGATAAGGATAGCAACTCTTTGCAAAAGACAATAATACTGGGAAGGTGGAGGGAAGTAGGAAGAAATGAAGGCCATATGTCAGACGGATGGACTCTACTAAGGAGGTCACGGGTATTAAGGGGTTGCAGGAATTAAGTAGAGCAGTGGAGGACAGAAGGTCTTGGAGATCTCTCATCCACAGGGCTGCCATGAGTCAAGATCGACTCAAGTGCAATTAACAACAAAGGATAGAAACACAGAATCACATCTTAGAGCTTGGAAGGGGCTGCAAAGAGAGTTATTGACTTCCATGTACCCAAGTGCGTTTTTGGATGCTGTTTCATGGTCCCCTGCTTCCAGGGAGCAGAGCTATTGACTTCTATGTACATAAGTCCCTTTTTGGACAGTGCTTCATGATCCCCTGCTTCTGGGGAGCTGGGGATTGACTTCCATGAGCACATGTCCCTTTTTGGATGGTGCTTGGGGAGCAGAGTTATTGACTTCCATGAGCACATGATCCTTTTTGGATGGTGCTTGGGGAGCAGAGTTATTGACTTCCATGGGCACATGACTCTTTTTGGATGGTGCTTGGGGAGCAGAGTTATTGACTTTCATGGGCACATGACCCTTTTTGGATGGTGCTTGGGGACCAGAGTTATTGACTTCCATGGGCACATGACCCTTTTTGGATGGTGCTTGGGGAGCAGAGTTATTGACTTCCATGGGCATAAGTCCTTTTTTAGACAGATTGCTGCTTCTAGGGAGCGGAGTTCAACCTGCTCCTATGTCAGAGGCTCCGGAGGAGGCAGGAAGACTTTTCTCCTGCTTCTTCCCACCAGTTTGCAGCTGGAGGGCTTTGAACAGCAACACACAGGCTCAGCCAGCCAGTCTTTGCCTTGGCCCCTGTTATGCGCCTGCTCCAGTGTGGGAAGGAGGAAGACTGAACGGCTGAGCAACAGGGCAGGAGAGGAGCCAAAGTGAAGGACGTGTGACATGTGACAGGAGCACATGTGATGGGAGCCAAGGTAAAGGCTGATTGGCTTGGCCTGCCATGTGTTGCTGTGTAATCCCCTCCCCTTCCGACATTCCTTCTTCCCAAACAGGATGAGCAAATGCCCTGACCACAAAGGAGGACAAGGCGCTGCAAAATGTAGGACATTCAAGAAAGCATTGCAAAATAAAAGCTAAAAAAACAAATATGGATTCATTTCATATTGTTATTTACACCTATAAGACACATACTGTATTTTATTTTGTACTCAACCGTATTTTTCTGATGAACTTATCTTTGTTGAAATGCCTTGTTGGCTTGCAATATACTTAACAGAACTCTGAGCAAGACAATGGCTGAAAATTGTACTTTACCAGCAACAAACCTTTGAATCGTCATTTCAGTTATTTCTTTCATTTGTCTATTGTCCTGAAATTAAGAAGGAAAAACCTTCCAACATTAGCATCGTGTCCTCAAGCAGCCCATTGCCTAACATGTCTGCTGTCCTCTTCCCTTCTGAGAAACAAGCATGCCCTGAGCTCTGGGTGCGAGTCTTGTCCGCTGCTCCTAGAAAAAAAGAACATGAGAAGGATCCATCCTATCCTATTTGCAGCAAGGACAGGCTGCCAAGCAGATGCATTTTTGGTAGCAAAACAGAAAAAGTGGTGCTACTGGACGGGCTTCTGAGGTCCAAGACACGCTGCAGGAATAATCCAGTTTGATACTGCCTTGGCTTAGTGCTAGGGAATCATGGGAATTGTAGTTTTGTGAGACACTTAGCCTCCTCTGTCAGAGAGCTCTAGGGCCACAACAAACTACAGTTCCCCGAATTCCCTAGCATTGAGCCAGGGCAGTTAAAGAGGTCTCAATCTGGATTATTTCTGCACTGTGTTTTGGCTCTACGGCTGCATTCACAGTGCAGAAACAATCCAGTTTGATGCCACTTTAACTGCCATGGCTCAATACTATGGAATCCTGGGAACTGTAGTTGTTGTGGCCTCAGAGCTCTCTGACTGAGAAAGTGAAATGTCTCTCAGGTAAACTCACACGCCTTTTGACTACATTAATTCAGAAATGTCATTTGACCTGTCTTTTATGCTTTGGAGGGTCAGTCAGTCTGTTCTCTTGCATCATGGAATGGGGACTGGGTTGGGCTCAGTGGCCTCACTGGGGCTGGTGTGTCCCTCAATCCATGAACTCCTGTGGTCATCCCAGGCAGGCAGGCAGGCAGCCACCCCACAGGTCCAGGGAGGCAGAGGTCTGGTCCTGGCTGTCTCCCTCCCTCCATCCATCCATCTAGCTATCCATCCATCCATCCATCCAGAGCCAAGCCAGGGCCAGGAGGGGTCCTGGACCAGGGATTCCCCTTCAACCCTCCAGAAGAGGAGGATGCCCAGGGTGACCAGAGGTCCTGACTGCAAAGGAGGACCAGGCACTCCAGAAAAATGGAGGACATCACCAATTACAAAATAAAAACACTTCTATACATGTAAATTCAGGCATCTTAGGGCCTTTGCAGACTGCCAGAAATAGTGAAAATTGAGTCCACTTTAACTGCCCTGGCTCAGTGCTAAGGAATCATGGGAACTGTAGTTTATTGTGGCACCAGAGCTCTCTGACAGAGAAGGCTTAACTGTCTCAGAAAAAACTACAATTCCCATAATTCCCTAGCACTGAGCCAGGGCAGTTAAAGTGGACTCAATTTGCACTATTTTTGGCAGTCTGCAAAGGCCCTTAGTCTTACTCAAAATGGAGGACCTTCTGGAACTCCTCCTGGACAGAAGGTTGAAAGGTAGGGCGGGTCCTGGAAAAGGAGGACATCTGGTCACCCTGAGGACCAGGCACTGCCAAGTGGAGGGCCTTCCAGACAAATGGAGTTCCTGACCAAACCAAAGCTCAAAACGCTCCCTAGAAATGTCAGCCCATGCTTTTTAGCCCTGCTCAAAATGGAGGACCTTTTTTGGAGGGGTGGGGGAGTGCGAGTCTTGTCTGCTGATGCTGATGCTTCTGCTCCTGGGGAGGGGAGAAAAAAGAACTTTATTAAGATCCATCCTGTGCCCTTTATTTGCAACGAGAACAGGCTAGCAAGGAGAGAAGGAAAAGGAAGGGAAGAGAAAGGATGGAAGAGAAGTGGAGGGAAGAAGGGAAGGATGGAAGGGACAGAAGGGAAGGAGG